TGTGTGATTCAATGTAGTATGCACTCCAGGCGGCTAGGTGGCGATGTGAAGCACTGCCACACAACAACACCAAGTCCACCAAACCTTTTTTTACCCTTTACACGGGAGCGTGCGGTGGAGCGTTTTTAAGATTTCCACTCTGGAGGGTGGTTTCACTTTTTTTGCGTTTTTAAGCCCCCATAACGCCGTCACCATTTCAAGGAAAGGCACATCCGATAAAATATTTTGACGTTTTCACTAGAGCCCGACCAATAAAGTATTTTGAAGGCCGTTACCGATACAAATATTTGTTGGTTTTAAAATCCGATATTCCGATATATCGGCCGATATACATATATTTTTTTTTCAGAAACGCGCAACAAAACATTAACAGATTTCCCTTACATTAGGTATTTGTAGTTATTTATGAGTTTTAGCTCAAATAATATGATAATGCATTTTAACAAGAAACTTGTTTCTTTTATTGTCACAACAGACCAGAGGAATATCAAAAATATATTAAAGTTCTGATAAATAAAATAATAATAAGTCCCTACATTGCCTTATAAGCTGCAACCTGGATCAGCAGGTTGCAGGATGTGTGGCGCGTTATACACGAGTGTTGCCAACAGGAACGGTGTAGAGTGCTCTCTGGTGGACAAACTATACAACTTCAACACTCATGACATGGTTGAAGCAAGCATGTTTCGTCCGTTTTTTATTTTATTTTGAAATATTCATTTATCGGCCATTATAACTGCCGATACCGATAGTTTGGCCTGCCGATAAATCTTTCTGGCTCTAGTTTTCACCCGGGAGCGTTCTCGTGTAAACAGGACCTCACTCTGTTTGTTTTCATAGCCTAGGACAATATTGATCAGGATATAAATTTTAATTAAATACCGATCTTTTAAAATTCAAATACAGTAGAAATAAATGTAAGTACTGAAATTATACAATATGCCATTTAGCCCAAAAATTCAGATTTTTTTTTTTTTTTTTTTGGCAATTGGCTATTGCCCAATAGCATGCTTTAAATGCTGAATTTTCCGTTTTTAGCTAAGCAGTAATGATACATTATTATCACTGTTAAATGGTTATTTAACAATCAGCCTACGTTCAGTTCTGCATTAAAAATTTTAGTTTTTCCGCTGCTCCCCCTACTGAAGTTTGTTGTGTTTCTGGGTCCGATTCACTTTCTGTAGCATTTCTCAGAAAACGGTTACTGCACCTTTAATTCCAGTAAAAGCTTTCAGTGTGAATGTAGCATCTCTACATAATGGGTCAGAGTCAGAATTTCATTTGATCTCTTGTGCTTCTGTTTTGAGTGCTAAATAAAAGGTTGGTTTCAAAAATAGTCCCCCCACCAATACTTTTCTCTTGGTATGTTTCCCGTTCGTGATGAATAAACTCTTCTTTGAGGGATGATAACCTATGATACCACGACAGACTGCAGGCAGTGCATTTGAAATCGACGTCTAGTACTAACCCAGCTGGTTACACATGCAGTTCAGTTGAAGAAAATGGCACAAACTCAGGTATTCCCAGTCTCCAGCAGTGATGCTGAGGAAGAAATGCCTGTGAATCTCTTTATCTCTTACTTTAAGATTCAGTCTGACAGTTCTGCAGGGCCATTTGATATCCCAGAGGAATATATGAAAGATTATTTCAAATAACATGGGAAGCCAAATGCTAAAATTTAAGATGATTCATTCAAATATTTGCATAAAATCATGGCGTACAAAAAACAATCCTGTCAACAATGTTCAAAATGTTTTGCATTTGCGTCATTTTGGATGTGATAAACAGATGAGGTGAGATGATGTGTGTCGGGAGGGTGGGACTGTGAAGATGCAGGCACTCATCCAGCTGCAGTCATGAACACACACACACACACATACAGCTCCCTCATCACAACAGCACAAACTCACGACTCACTGAAAAATAGTGCATGAAACACTATTCATACATCTATTGATTTTTCAGATGAAGATTGTCATTTATACTCGCACTCATGTCATTTCAACCTATACATTTCTTCCATCTGTATGACACAAAAGAAGATTTTTTTTCTAAAGTGTACTGCTTACTTTGTACAATGAAGGGACACTGGAACTCTCAAGCTTCAAAAATGATGCAAAAGCATAATTAAAGTGTTGTAAAACTACCGTAAGCCTGCTGTTCATCTCACTAATCTATTGAAATTCAAGTTGATATTCACCGAGTTTCTTTTCTTCCAGTGAGCTGTTGATCACTGTAACCGGTTTGAATCAATGAAATGAACTCAAGAATCGAATCAGACTGATTCAAGGACAAATCATTTAGACTGATTTGTGAGTCAGTTTGTTAAAGATCTGAGCTAAATTAAATGTCAAGATTTTCAGCAAATTTCAGTCTTTTTCTCCCATAAAAGCGACTTTAGTTAACACATCATACGGACCACTTTTATGGTACTTTATTTTTATTATATTGACCTTCATTTTTATTATATTGACCTTTTTTGTTGCCATATATTAATGAAGATGAAGACAGAATTGACAGAATTTTGATTGAATTAATGCTTTATTATTTGACAGTGGCAATTAATGCTAAATTTATTTTAAATTTTTTTTTCAGCAGTAAGGTTGTTGTCAAACTTGGTTCAATTGATTTGTAAGCCAATTTCTGCAGAGGTCAGCAGCAATGAAAAATGCATTATAATACTATAACAGGCCAATGATATGCCGTCAATAGCTGTTCACTTTCACAAAGTAAAATGGATTGCTTTCATACCATTTATGAAATATTCTGTTCCACAGACTCAAGTGGTTCCTTGAAGCCCAGCAGAGTTTGAAAGTCGGCATAAAATGAAAATCCACCCTGTTTTCTAAATGCATCTTATTGATCTTCTTTTGACCAATGGGCTTTATGCCCAGCTGCACTACTTTCTGAACTTAAGCCAGCTCCTTGTTTCCTGTCTGCTATTATTGGCCAAACTTGATTAATTCAGGTGTGTCTGGTTATTGTTGCCGTGTCTACTGAGGTCAGGCACACCTGAATTAATCAATTTGACCAATAATGGCAGACAGGAAACAAGGAGCTGGCTTAAGTTCAGGAAGTAGTGCAGCTGTGCATAAGGCCAATTCATCAGTGTTACATTTTCAGAATAACATGTCATATTTAAAGTCCCTGTAAAGTCAAAATTGTTGAAAAACTTCACAATTCAGTTCTTCACAGTCTTTGTTATGTGTTTAGCAATACATTTCTAATGTTTAGATTTTTTTTTTGTAGAATGGCCTTTAATCAAAATTCCGTAACTGGACCTTCCTGTAAAAATGCCTTCTCTGTGTTGAAGTATGCAGGACTTCTCTAATCATTTAAACTGCTTAAAGGGGTCCTATTAAGCCCTTTTACAAAGTCTTGATTAGAAGTCGTGATTTTGGGGTGTATTAGAATATGTTTTCATATTTGATTGTTCAAAAACGCAATCAAATGACCCCAATCTGGCTCAAACACGGCAATTTTGATAAAGCCCCTCCTTCGAAATACAAAATGTGTTGTGATTGGCACCGCTTAGCGGGTGTTTGGGAAAAAAATGTAATAGCTTTCACATAATGTAGAAGTCAAATCTGTTTTTAGTAGAACAAAACTGTTTTTATTTTTATTTATTCATTTATTTAACAGGGACCATACAGTCAAACATAGTCACAATACAAAGCCTGTAACTGATGCGCAGCATATAGAGTTTGTAGCTAATGCTAATTTTTAACTCCTGTCCCTGGTTGGGCATTTCTAAGTACATTATATGAATAGAAAACATTCGCATTTCTTCAAACACACAACCAGAAAAAAACAATAGTTAAAAATGGTTACAGTTTTGGTTTGCCTTTAGCCACAACTTAATCCTGGAAGTGAACTTTTTCAAGTCAGATGCAAGTCAGTGTTCACTGTAGGCACCATTGCTTTTGTAAGTCTTTAAAGCGAATTCAAGCGGGGGACTTCGGAGATTAGAGGTCTTACACAGATGACTCCAGTGTCACCATGCATTTCCCAGCATGACCTGCTTATGAGAGGCTAATTAATTTAAAATCCTCAGCAGAACTTCAGCCTTTTTGTGTCATTCCCAAAGTTGACTGCTTTGCCAAGTTCACAGATTGAAGTTATTCTTTTATCTAAATAAAGACCATAAATGTGTGAAGACGCGTGAAATAAATGGCCCTTCCACTAAGAACAACAAACATCCAATTGTATTGATTGAATATGCTGATTTAATTGAGGTTTACCCTCGTCCGGCTTTCTCCATTTATTAAATTACCTCGAAGACTAAAGGCCACCATCTGTGAGCGGATCAATTTTGTCTTCAGTCGGCTCTCTTTGTCTTTACTGATTTCCCAAACATCCCCCGTGTTCCGACATATGAATGAGAAATGAGTAACGGTCTCGCTGAAGTTAACGCCCAAGCTCTGGGTTTTATGTTTTCTCAATTGAAACATATCGATCTGTTTTACTCTTTCCATTCCTAGAGTTTCTGGGGACAAAATAGACAGATGTATCGTTTTTTTTCAAACCAAACAGGCTTTTAGGCGTAGCTAAGAATGGGTTTAAGTGGGGATTGAGAGTTTCTCCCAAAAATAAATCTCTGCGTAATGGTATGCATTTGTGACATAGTGCTGAATGCGCTGATGCCACTGTCAAATGCAACGGCAATAAGGCAATAAATGAAACCACAAAACTCTAAGGAGGTGAAATGGCCGAGTTGACAATGAGCTTGTTAGCTTCACTGTCTGTTGTCGTCTCTCGTTTAGTCGGATCAAAATGACGTGTCGTCGTTTATCTGAAGAGCCTGTGTCAGAGGGGTTTCCATAGTTACTTGTGCGGCTGTAAAATTGAAGAGATCAGCTGCTTGTGTGGAATAAATGAAAAGTGCTCTCAGAGACTGCTGAATTATGCATGTGGAGAAAAACAGTTTAAGAAGTTTTTCAGTTTTTTTTGGGCTTTGTTTGATTGTGTTCTTTAATCCTAATGCTTTTCTCTCTCTTCAGTTTCTCTGCAGGTCGATATTACACCTGCACAGAGCGAGATCAGTGTTGGAGAGTCTCGGTTCTTTTTGTGTGAAGGTAAGTTTCCATATTGACACGGAACCTTCTGGCCCTTTATTACAGCGCTCTCTGCAATTAGTTCAGCACCTACCGATTACCGCAAGGCTTTGTTTTGTAGATAATTTGAGCCTTAGTTATGCCGTATGTATCTTGGTTTTTGTAAACAAGGTGCAAGATTTTGTTCCAACGAGTCCGGTGTGGGCGAGGCGAGAGGCAACCAGGTTTCATCTGGTTCAGAGACAGATATTGATAAAATATTTGGCATTTAAACAAACATGTCATTATGTTCTTTGCCTACCAACTGTGATGGGTCTGTTTTTCCATCTGTATTGCACATTACTGTCAATCTTTCTTTCTCTCCTGCTGTCATGCGACCAAAAACATTAACACTGCTCATTTTATGCTTTATGAGCAAACGTGTTTCCTTCAGGAAAGGCAAATTTATTTTAGAAAGGGTCAAGCTTTGAAAGAGGCTGTTTTGGATGTGTGAAAAATATTCGTAGGAAAGAAGGTAGGCTAATAAATAAAAAAAGTCATTTGTTGAATTTGACCGTGTATGGTTTCATTCTTATGATTTTTAATATTAAGAATTTGATTAAACAAATTCTGCAGCTAATTTCTTTGATTTTGAAAAGTAAAATGTAACTTTTAAATATGTCTTTGCTTTTACTTCTAATCAATTGTTGATCTTTGCTGAATAAAGTATTAATTTCAGAGAGGGAGAGAGAGAGAGAATACAACATTTTCTTTTAATCTAGGCAGTGAGCTTCGTCATCGCCCACTGCTGCCTTATCTTGTTTACTGGGGTTTCTAAGCCAATGTTCTCTGTAAAACTGCTTTATTTCTGGAATATAAAACATCATATTCATCAGCTTGTTGATTGACTGTTTACTGCTTTTTTTCTACTGTTGTTACAGTATTTAAAGATGTATGTCCCCTGTTCATGATTCTTCCTGTGTTACCTTCTAAAAATCTAGTACACCGTTTTATATATCATTTAATATCGATAATTATCATGATAAATGTCAAATTTTTATTTCTTTCAAGATTAAAGGCAGTTTTTAGCTCCTAAGTGAAAGTTGAGCGTTAATTGTGGTTTTAAACTACTCTTTATTGTCAGAACATATCATGATAAATAGGTGAACATTTCACAAATCTCAAAATAACAAAATAAATATCTTTCTTTTCTATCTTTAATTTCTTTCTAATTAATGTGCTAATGGGGGATATTGTTTCAAGTTTTGAAACAGGTTTTTGTTGCCTGAATTCAATGGCAAATATCTTCAGCACAGTTTGCAGTGCAGGCTGCAATATTAAAATTACATGTTTTGCGAAACGCATATTGACAATGAGTTGACGGTAGTATTAGCTTGAGTTAGGTCATCCCAATATCCTCAATTTTATTAGGTAAAATGTAATATTCTGACTTTGAGTTTTATAAAAATTAACCATTGGTCATCCAGTATCATGCATTTAGATCATGATAACCACAGATAAAGCCAGGCAGGCATAGCCTATAACTTAGCACCTCACTATCATGGCAAAATTTAACTTTACTGTTTTTCATACAAATACCAAAAACCATAGCCTAAATACATTATTAAATACTGTAATTATATTCTATTAGTCCTTTAATACATTATCTAGAGCCAGACCGATATATCGGCAGACCGATATTGTCGGCCGATATTAGGCATTTTCCGATATTAGGCATTTTGAAAAATTTTCATTTACTATCGGAATCGGCAGTTATAATGGCCGATAAATGAATATTTTAAAAATAAAAACGGACGAAACACGCTTGAACCATGTCATGAGTGTTGAAATTGTATAGTTTGTCCACCAGAGGGCACTCTACACCGTTCCTGTTGGCAACACTTGTTGAGTTGGGCACGATACATACATTGCTTGAATAACAATTAAAAGAACATCCCCATCAGTTCTCTTAACCCAAATAAGCATGACAAAATTTGCTTATTTAATAAATAAAATAAAATATCGGCCGATATATCGGAATATCGGATTTTAAAACCCAAAAATATTTGTATCGGTATCGGCCTGCAAAATCCTTTATCGGTCGGGCTCTATTATCTACATTAATAATATAATACAATTCAATATGTATATCCCACATTTCATGGTGCAGTTACTATTAGTAGGCTAACATTACAGTAAATCCATGGTAACTGATTCATGGAAATCTGATGGAAGTTTTCTGACTGTATCGTTGCACACATCATTGTTTCTCCTGTTTGTCAGCGCTGTTTCATCTACCTTTAAACTGGATTAAACTGAACATTTTTGTTCTTCGCTGAATTCAAGCTCTTCTCACCGGATTTTGAGAGCGAGACAATCAGAGTAAACCTTAGGGAGTAAATGTCTGCTCCATAGACTGTAAAAAAATGGACAAAGCGTCTGTGACGTCACCCATAGATTTTCTGCAGAACTGTTTTGAGGCTGTTTATGGGGGGTATGAGCGGCGCCTTATTTGTCATACATTTTATATCTAAATATGATCTAAACTAACGAGTTAGAAATTCACCCCCCTCACAGTTGCCAGGCACTCGGAACCTATCCAAAAATAAAATAAAAGTCCATGGGACCAAACTGTAAAAGCATGAATTTATGCTATGAAAAGGGACATTTTAACATGCTGTCTGGTTATTTGCTCCCTTTTGGGACCTCCCTCTAGCGGATTTTCGATGTATTGCAGTTTTTTGCACTTCCGGGTAGGCTTCATTTTTCAGATTAGAATGTTGCCGCTTTGGCTTCTATAGTGAGCTCGCCGTTTTGACTTTGAGCTAAGCGGTTAAATGGTCTGTGCGGTGCGCCGTTCAAACAAGTTTCGTTCCATTCGTAATCATTATCTAACATTTATCGAACTCTTAATATCGTTTTATGGGGTAAAAATTATATCGCGATTATTATCGTTTTATCGCCCAGCACTACACCGTTTAAGTTGCCTGATGTCTGATCCTAAAAGGTTGAATGAGAGTTTGTAGTACACTACCTTGAATTCAACTTTAATGTCACTGATGGTGTTCTGTGTCAGCAAATATTACTGAAGACCCAATAAACGAGACCCATGAGAATAATGCTTACAAGAGGAATACGTTAAACCTTTGTGTGCCGCATATATCTCACTTTGAAAACCGTTTTTCGTGGTTACACTCTCCTGGGTTTCATTTGAAGACCCAAAGGTGTGGAACAGCGGCTCTGATAATTGCTCTCAACACTCGAGTCTTCAGCAGTACTGTGTCCTACGGTCCACTGATTTGGGTAATAGACTGGTAGCCTGAGAATCGGTTGAAGTTTTAGGTTGTTTCTTCTGACAGCTGTTGAGCCAGTGACACCTAATCCCAACTGATTCACGCAAATAATTCAATCGCATCAGGCCTGATCCATTTTTGATTGATTCATCTTTGCTCTGTGGATGTCAAACCAGCTCTATTTTGGGCAGAATGATTTATATGATGACACATTTAATACACAAGATCAGCCTACGAATTCTGATGTGTTCATTTGGTCTGGGTTGCAGTTATCGGTGGGGCCAAGGAAATCGATTGGTTCGCTCCAACCGGGGAGAAAATCGAGCCCGGCAAACAAGACGTCAGTGTTATTCGCAATGACGAGACGTCTTCCACTCTCACCATCTACAATGCAAAGGTCGACAATGCCGGGACATATAGATGTGTGGCCAGCAGCGGTGATCAGGATGCTGAAGCTACAGTCAATCTGAAGATATACCGTAAGATCCCCGTTTATGATTCATCTGACAGAATATATAACGCTTATTTAGATTAAAAGTTGACATCACAAATTGAATTGTGCCTTTCTATCTAGTTGTATGGTGGTCGTTGTATGTTTATGTTATTGCGAGGTCCCCATCTCAATCTATCTAGTGCCATCGGATGAATACAAAATGAATCATTGCATGATAAACTGAACTTCTTTTTTTCCCTCTAGAAAAAATCACTTTTACAAATGTCCCATCACCTCAAGAGTTCAGTGAAGGAGACAATGCCATTATTGTGTGTGATGTCATAAGCTCACCCCCACCCACTGTTCTCTGGAAATACAAAGGTGCAAAGATCCAGTTTGAAAAAGATGGTTAGTCAAAGTTATTATCTTCCACTTTAAAAAAAATATGAATTACATAAGAAGGCTGATTTATTTTGCTTCAATGTCATTGTTTGTGTTCATTAATAAATTGATGATCATTAGTGCAGCCTAATGCTTCTTTCTCAGAAATGTGACACTTTATTAATCCATATAATACAACGACAGATGAAAAAGTGTTAAATCTGCATATGATTTTAATTCACAATTTCTGAGACATCTGTTCAAACCCGCAAGAAAATGAATTCACCCTTGTTCTGCTGTACAGTTCGTTTCAGGACACTGAATAACAACCATCTCGAAATCCGAGGGATCAGGAAGACAGATGAGGGGGTGTACACTTGCGAGGGCCGCATTAAAGCCCGTGGAGAAGTTGACTTCCGCAGCATTAAAGTGGTTGTTAACGGTGAGCTCTTATTTGCCTTTGGATATTTCAGCTTCTCTCAAATGACATGCATACTGTATGCTTTACACTGTTTTTGGTTTTTATTTTTAAGAAAAATCAATAAATGTATGTTTAACTATACATAGTTCCCACAGGCAAAAAAATTGTCACGTGACCTCCCCGGAGACGCCATCTTTGAGGGCAAAACCGCTGTGTTTACCATAGGCGTTTACAACGTTTTATCAGAGAATGTCGTTTTACAAACAAATATTTATGTCTGTTTATATTGTTATGCAAATCATGAAAAGACAAAGTGTAATAGATTATAAAGAGACTATTAAAACAAGACATAGAGAGGTACAATGCGAAAATTTCATTCATAAATGGTGTGTATCCTTATGCAACAAAAGAAGCACTGAGCACCGATTATGCAACTTTGCCTCAGATACAGTATTTTCATGTGTACAATTATCTGGTATTGGTGAGGAGTTTTTACACATGTGAGCAATTCCAAGCCTGGAAATCACTGGAGGTGTACGATTGACGTGGGGTTGGTTTGGTGACGTTTGCTCAAGTGCAATCAATGGAAAAGTAACTTAAGTCATCATAGCGAAGTAGCATGATGCTAATCTGTCTATTAAAAAGCCATAGCCTGCACAACTTAATTCCTATGTTCCCCAGTCACCGGTGATTTCTGTAATATGCATGTACTTGCGGGCGTCATGGTTCGGTGCATGAATATTAAAATAAATAACTCGCGTGCAATTTAATTAATGTAATAAATGAGGAACTACATTATACGCGGGATCTTTAGGGACATAATCTGAGATTGCAATGCTGGAATGTGAGATCAAACAGTGGAAACAATGTTGTTTTGTATGTTTTTAATACCTCGTCATTTTGTTCATACAGGACATTATTCAAACTGCAACGTGTTAACTTATATTTATTTACACTCGCAATAAAACACAACATTGTGCTTTTGTCAAACAAATTCTTGCGTGTTTTGAGTGAGTTTCTTTCCTGTTTATGCTCGCCAGCCATAATCTCCGTCGTTGTTCGGACAAAAGCTTAGTCTTCTCACATCCATATGGAGTCTAATGACGGGTATAGTGTAAAATCCCGATTTAACTGAACCTCCGGCACGATTTTATCATCCATTGACTCAGCAGGAGATGACCATTTTCACTTTATAGCACGAAACTCATTTCACTTCGTTCAACTCGTATTGCTTCTTCTTATGTTTTGCCCTAAGCAATGGCGCCGGGTCGGCAAATGCCCGTATGTTGTGACGTCATGTGGGAACTATGTATAGCGGATTACGTTAAATTAGATTAGACAACTGAAGCTTAATTTTTCAAATTAAATTTTTCTTTTTCTTTTCAGTTTGCATGCCAACAGTTTTGCCCACTAGCTTACCATAGGGTTAACTGGCTCTTTTGATTAGATAAAAACAAGATTTGATCGGCAGCTGTGTTGCCGTAGAGGTTGAGCATAAAGCTCAGTCTGTTTTGTGTTGAGGATCAGGTGGTTTTTGAAGTAGCTGTTGTCAAGTTGATATTTTCTCCCATCTTCTTTTGATTTCTTTTTCCTTCCTGCGGTAAACCTAATAATATAGTTTCCCCTCTTATGTTTGCATTTTAGTTTGTTTGTTTTCTTGAATGAGTGTAATTTTTCTCCTTGGTGGGTTATTGTTATGTTGTCGTTTAGTCCTGCTTGAGCGACCACAGTGCAGGTCACAGGCACAAAATGCAGCACTTAATTTGCAAGTCCCTTTTTGTCAAGAGAGGAGGAACACCTATTCACTAGCAGAAATGCAAAAACTGGTTATATTATTATCCATTGGACGCCAATTTAATTCCTTTGTCAGCAGGTGTGAGATGTGCTGCAGTGCTATATTCCCTTTGTTAATGGGATCAAAGTGAACTTTTGAATAGTGTGGCTGTCTTTCATTAAATCAAAATTTGATACACATTTATGCTGGAGTAAAGATGTATTTTGAATAAGTTTATGTAATATGGATAATTGAAAATGCATGAAAATGTACATGTTGAGGTTTGAGGCAAAATTGGACCATAATGTAGTCTAAGCTGCACATTGCATACTTTGTCTTTCTTTGTTGTGCTTATTATGCACATATTTATATTAGTATTCCAAAGGAGGTTTCTGTATTTGCTAATTTCTTGTTTTTCAATGGTACGGTGTTTCCTGAAGGCAGTACGTAAAAACTTGATTTCTGATTAAATGTTAGATTATATTTCATTAAACTGATTCGACTAGCAATGTGTGAAATAGTATTATATAAAAAAAACCTTTCTTATTTTGTAGGAAAACATTTGTCTTTTTGAGAATGGTACAATATCTCCTTAATCTCATTTATAGAAAAAGACAATTTTCTTTTCAAGATGTTTCCAACTCTAACTTTGTACCAATTCTATAGAATCGCCTATTTGACCAGGATTTGTTTCCAGTTATAAAAATGACTGAAAATGTGCTTTTGACTTTCATTATATACAGTATATATATATATATATATATATATATATATATATATATATATATATATATATACTGTATATTCTGTGTGTGTGTGTGTATATATATATATATATATATATGTGTGTGTGTGTGTGTGTGTGTGTGTGTGTGTGTGCAACTAAACACCCACACACACCAGGTCCTTGCATTCTTTCTTGTGTGACACACAATGAAAGGCTCATTATTTGGGTCATTGTCTTCTCAGGTGAGAATTACCTAATTATTCATGAGGGGGTTGGGCCGTTCACTCCCATTCGAATATTGCCTTTCCAACCAAAAAAATGTTTTTCACAATTTAAAACAATCTATTGTTTTATGTGAATGATTAGGCAGGATGATTTTCAGATTTTTGAAGCAAAAACTCTAGGCGACAACATCCATTAGTCAAAAGTTTTGTGGGCACATATTTAGTATGTGTTTTGTGGCTTTATTTCAGAAACTAATTTTGATTTTTTTCAATAACCATGCATAAACAATATACGACAATTCACCATGACGTCACAACAATAATAGACGCTCTTCCGGGTGGCAAAAGCCGAAGCGTCCCTATGGCAACACTAGTAAATTGCATGGAGGGAGACACACCGCCGGCAGAAGCCTAATCTACATTTCAACAGTTGATTCAAGAACAGACGTGGTGGAAATTCAGACATAGTTAACATGATCATTAAAGCTTAGATTCTTTGATCTAGAGACGTGCGTGTGTGCGGATTGCAGGAGAATAAAACGATTCGCGGGACTCCCGCAAACTAGACATATCTATGAAAAAATCAAATAAAAACTAATACATTTGTATTCATCTGTTGCAGAAAAGCAACAAGAACAACTAAAACAAAATAGAAATGACTTACATGGCAGAGTTTCTTTTTATAACGTGACTGCAGCGATGAGCCAATCACAGACATATGTGTTGATTTATTGAACGCATTGGCCAATCAGAAGCATTTACGATGAAGAAGCATTTACTCACCGCTCAAAAGAAAGTAACATAGAAAGTAATAGAAATAACTAAGTTAGTTGAGAACGTCAGTTATATAACGACCCACGTATTAAAATGGTTGGGTTTAAATCGGGCTCAGGCTCATAATTAGAAGACGACATGCACTTTTGACGACGTCCACTCGCTTTAACCTCCTCACCCACAGGTTTTGCTGGATAGATTTACTTTTTTCTGAAGGAAATCGATAAAAAAAAGCTACACCTTTTGCTGTATATCTGGTGGTGCAACCCCAAACACAACATATTTTCGCCATAGATTCAACTTTGATCAACAACATTGATTTTAACTGTGTAACTGTTCAGTTGCCGGCTGGATCTCTTCAGTTAGTCAATGGAAGCCGCTCGCGTTCTGCCACCCGGTAGTATCGCGGTGCCTATTGTTTACAAACATTCTGAAATGCCCTATTGTACATGTACATACATGTTGCTCACATATTATGGCGGCCCTGTTTGTGCTAAATAGAATGTAATTTCACCTGTGCCATTAATATGTTTATAAGCAACTGGAAAAAAAAGCACAGATATCAGGGCATTTCTAAATATCTCAAGGACCCCCAAAACACCTTAGACCCCAGAGGGTTAAGGAAGAAATTATTTGAATAGGTGTTATGTAGTTTTAAGTCTTGAGGTTTTTTATTTATTTTTTTGGCTCCACATTTCAAACCTGCAATCTTTTTTTCTGCTCAGTCCTGCCCACTATAAGAATCCGTCAAGCTGAAACGAATGCCACTGCTGACAATGGCTTCTCAACCCTACTGGCCTGTGATGCTGATGGATTTCCTGAGCCGATGGTGACCTGGGTGCGGTAAGTAAAATCACCCCAGTAGAAACAAAGCACTACCGAAACACTGGTTTTGCTGCACCCTTTTTGTGGATTAGGAGTTTAAAGCAAGACAAAAAAGCCTCTGAATAAATGAAGAACTTGTGGATGACATGGAATAGTGAAGAACACCATTAGTACTTTTAAAGTAAGAGTCTCTTCTTAACCATCTTTGTGTTCTCAGCGGCTGTGCGTACTCTCTGCTCATGGAGGAGAGAACGCGAGACACAAATCCCTCGGGATGATACAGCCTCAAGGATCTTTTGTTCGGTGTTGTGGGGGGTGGGGGTGAAGGAGGTGTTTATTTGACTAGAATAACTTGGGTCCTCTCCTCTGACAAGGGTTATGGTATATTTATTACCTGTTTGACCTTAAATCAAGGGTTCGACACCATGGTCAAGAATCCAATGAATTCAAGAGTGTCTGCACAAAGACCACTAATAGAGGGGCAAATAGAAGTAGAATAAAAGCCATGTAGCTGAAAGTGGTTGGCTAACACCGTTTCCGATTTTGAAAGTGGTTGGCCAACACCGTTTCCGATTTTCTTTTATACAGTTTTTCATCAGTAAAATCTCAGTAGGTGAATATTGAAAATAGAGCAGTGGGGAAAAGTGTGTGTTTGTATACAGTATATTAATAATATTTTGAAACTACAGGGTCTAAATGGAATTAGTGATCCATTGGTTTATTTATATTACATTAAAACGCATGTTAGTTGTGATTAATTATGATTTAATCGATTTGACAGCACTACTATTATTAATAATAATTCTTATACTCTTGCATGCCTAACAGAACAGGCTCTTTGAAGGGAAAAAAAAAATATTCCGATTTTTTTCCCTCCTTGCTCTATTGTTTTAATAAGTTAGCACTTTCTTTCCTCAGGAACAACATTCCACTGGAGAGCGGGGATAAATACAACTTCAATGAAGACGGCTCAGAGATGACAATACAAGATGTGACAAAGCTGGACGAGGGAGATTACACGTGCATTGCTTCGAATAAAGCTGGGAAGAGCGAACAAGAACTTAGCCTTAAAGTCTTTGGTAAGAATGCATGAGAGATGGAGTCTCACAGGAGTCTAGAGGTTTGACAGCACTTTGTCGATGTTTAAAATCCAGCAGTGACAAAAAATAAATAAAGAATTCAGTTTTATTCTGCAGAGAAACAAAAGTTTAGTTGCATGACTATATTGTTTTTACCTTCAGAAAAAGTCCACTGACTGTTTTCTTTTTTCTGTGAAAGTATTTTTAAAGTTGTTGTTTTTTTTAATCAAACATTAAGTGAATTTTACTTTTTTCTGTGGAACACAAGGGAGATATTTATATCCTTCATACAAGGAAAGTGAATAGAGAAGGATGTGGCAAAAAAAATCACCTTTTAGAAGTAGTCGTATGATCTTATTTCATGTCTTTTAAAGTCAAAACGAAAGTTTGTGTTAGAGACAGACTGAAACTGAAGACAGACTGAGACAGATTGAAAAAAAGTTGCCGTCAAATCACATTCACACTTCCGTGTGTCCAGAAATATGCTGAATAATTAGCTAGGGACATGAAAAACATTTTTTTTTTTTTTATCATTTACTTTTAATTCTCATTCGTCAAAAAATCTTTTGTGTTCCACAAAGTAAGTCGTAGGTTTTCAACATTTAGACTGAATGTAATTTAGGAGTCATCTAACCTTTTAAAACGTGTCCCCTCAGTGCAACCCAAAATCACATATTTGGAAAGCCAGACTACCACGGAAATGGACGAACGGGTCACGTTAACATGTGAGGCCACCGGAGACCCCACACCCACCATTACCTGGAGCTTTGGCACCAAAGTCTTCACCGAGGGAGAGCAGGTAACACCAAACGCACAGGCATAGGGTCTCCTCGGGGGCTAGAAGTGTAGCATGTTCATCGTGGTTGAACAGACAGGCAGTTCAATGATGGAGTCGTGGTGCACCTGCCTCTGGCTGTTTCATGCATACAATTCTTTTTGTCTGCAGGAGCACCAAAAGAGGATTTATCAGGTATGAGATCAGAAGGTCAGGTATAGTAACGAGCCACTTAGATCTGTTTCTTAATTCCAATTTTTCCGAAAATGGCTCTGATGTTGTCTGCTTAAGACGTTTGCTTATCGTTACCATATGGTGTTTCGATTTCCTGAAGTTCAAGTCATGATACTATCTGCAGTTGTTGATATGTGGAAAAGACGTGCATGGTGGGGAAATTGCAATGCTATTGCAACGATTCCAGACAGGAAAAGTGATGATGGATGAGCTCTAAAAATTGCCTGTTCCACAACCTAGTGTAATGGCTACAGAGGCTGCTTTGTGTTTTTTTGGCAGCATACAATAGGCCTGCTCCCGATGCTAACGCTATTCCAAACGCTAGGTAAATGAATTATGCTGCTGCCTAAGATACCTTGATTTAACCTGATTCTAAGGCAGCACAGCATTTCTTCTTTGCAGAGAAGGCAATACCAGAATGCATTGCAAAAAGCTCACATTGCAATTTCAAGATTGCAGAGAAAAGGTTAATTATAAATATACTTCAAATATATACAGGTTGTTTTACAAAGACCCCTTACTTCTCAAAAGATAAAGGGTAATTTGATTTTTCATGTCATGACCCTTTAAAAATTAGAACTACTAAAACACTTTCTTCATTCAATATTTATGTGTGCAATCTTTTTATGCTTGTACACCATTAGCTTCGACATGCTAATGTATATGAAAATCTGTTAAAGTGATGTTTGTGTTCAAGGATAGATGGATGGATGGGTAGACTGTGCATAATAATTACTTATGAGCAGTGTTATTTTATTATTTATATACACTATAGTTTTAATTAATGTTTAGAATGAGCTTTTATTTTCATATTTTCACCCAAAAGTGAAAATTATGTCATTAATGACTCACCCTTATGTCGTTCCAAGCCCGTAAGACCTCTGTTCATCTTCGGAACACAGTTTAAGGTATTTTACATTTAGTCCGAGAACTTTCTGTCCCTCCTTTGGAAATGCATGTACAGTATGATATACTGTCCTTGTCCAGAAAGGAAATAAAGATCTCATCAAAGTAGTCCATGTGACATCAGTGAGTTAGTTAGAATGTTTTGAAGCATCGAAAAAACATTTTGGTCCAAAAATAACAAAAACGACGACTTTATTTAGCATTGTATTGTCTTCCGGTTCTGTTGTCAAGCCGGTTTTTTAGTGTTCTTCAGTTTTAGTTTATTTTTAGTTGGCAATTTAATTGCTTCAACTTCAACCTATTTTCACATTTTTATTTAGTTTTTCATCTAATATTTATATTTTATTTCAGCTTTATTATCTTTTTTTTTATTTAACAACATTGAATCAGCCCACTAGATTTTGGAACAGAGTTATTGTCCTCTATCCTTGAGGTAAATACAAAATGAATTATTTCTTTGAAGCCTCAAAAATAAGCTTGATTCGGTTCTTGCTGAGTCACCGTCATCACAGGGTTCCTGAAGGAGCATTTTTTATATAAGCTCTTTGTTGGTCCGCTTTGTCATTTCCTGTGTCTTCTTGTCCAGTCTTGCTCATCTCATGTGGGTGTTGGGTTGTCATGATTGCCAGCATCTCTTCACTGGCCTGTGTTGATCACCATGTATTTTTTTCATGGTTACAAAAATGATTAGCAGGTTTCTTTGGCTGTATATTTGGTAGCGTCAAGTATGACCAGCTGTCTCTGTTGATTTGTCTTTCTGTCAACATGAAATCAGAATTGATTTACTATTTTTTAATAAACATTCCTGGTTTTATTAGGCATGATTTATCAGTGCATGTTATTTCAGAGGGTTAAAAAATGCATTAAAATGGAAAATTCCCTCTGCTTAAATTATTTAGTTAGTTTTGGTATATAGCTTTTTTGTCCATCAGGAAAATATACATAAATAATGAAATAGTCAACTGGCTTGAGTGTTTTTATATTTACAATTCCACTAAAGTATACAACCAAGATGTACTATATAAACAATAACAAATAATATTTAAAATGTTCTATATCTCTTGATTTTCTTTCATGAAATCAAAAGTTATCATATTTACTTTCTCAATACACCTTCCTGGTTTTACTTTGTATGATTCAGCAGAGCATGTTGTTCCAGAAGGGAGAAAATCATCAGTGTAAAAAATATTTATTTTTTTAAAGCCAGTTTCGATCATATTTACCAGGGGTGCCATTAATTCTGAGCACGACTGTAAATCCATCAAGAAAATATTAATCAATTACCAAATAGCTATCAGGATTTGAGCGTAAACGTTGTATTAAATGCACAACAAAAATGTTTGGGGTGAAATCAAATCCCACTCTATTCTTTTCCTAGTTGCACATCAATATCGCTCATAAATGTCACATTACTGAAGTTAAAGTCCCTGTGAAGGCAATCCTAAAAAAAATTCTAAATACATAAATGTTAGAAATGTATTGCTAAAACATATTACAACAACTGTGAACTGTGAAGTACTGAATTGTGGAGTTTCTGTCAGTACTAGTTACTACAGTCTACAGTAGTGATCATTTTACACAGGATAGATTTATAAACTGTCGTGTGAGACAACTGGGATTCTCTGATAATATCCGCTGTTATTGGTAAATGGGCCGAACCGACTATCTCTCGCCTCGGCATTCATCTCCCCATCCCGAAAGAAGTATCACCTAATATCACTGTCCCTCGAGTGGGTGGGTTTCAGTGAAGCCAGTGAACATGCCCCCAGCATTTGAAAGTAGAGAATAATGCTAATTTTTTCAAGATTTGAATTGCTTACTTTATATACTATACACTCAAATTTGGCTGGGTGGCTACTAACACATTTTTCTGTTGTGTGACAAACTCAGAACACATATTTAAAGAGCTCCTGTCATAGCATTTGAAATGTTCCTCTTTTTTTTTTTTTTTTTTTTTTTTTGGGGGGAGTTCCCAAAAACAGTTTATCGTGCATGCAAGGATAAAAAAACACTTTATTTGTCTTATAATATGCATTTATTTTTACCCTGATTTGCTAAACGACTCCTAAATGATTCGTTCGACGATTCATTTTCCCAAACACCTCCTTTGAGTGACGCGAATCTGCGGCGATTGGTCAAATGACCCAGTCAGTTGTTATTGGTAAACCGTAGGCAGAGACTGTGGGCAACGGAACGCCCATAACCAGGATTATAGCTTGTCAAGTGTTGAAAATTGTATACAGTGTATAAACAAACATCTCAGAAAAAGAGCACTTTCCACCATAGGCGGAGTTTGACATTCGAGCCAGGGGGGGCAAAAAAAAACAAAAAAAAAAAAAACATGCTAAATAAACACATTTATTTTTATCCCAAGAAAAAACAGTAAAACAATACACTGATATTTTATTGCCTTTATGTCATTGTAAACAGCTAGAACTTCGCATTAACAGCCACTTCGCGTCGCATCTTCGTTATAGGATCATGAAATGTGGACCACTTTTGCACTGTTAAAATATTATCTTCAACCTTAAAGTTTTCTTTCCTTTTTTCAAAACACATTCTGGCAATGATAATGATTGAAAAACTAGTTAAATTTCGCATTTATACTTCATGAATCATTGAAAAAATTTTAAGACACGGGATTAGGCTACCTATTGGTTTTGATGAGGGGAAAAAAAAAAACTTTACGAGTGCGGATTAGAACCTCGAACCTCCCGAGTCCTGGATCTGGACCATCACTGTATACACGAAAAAGGGAGTATATATTTTATATACTCACTATACACATGAAAAAAGTGCTATACTCTGACATTGTGCTCATTTTTATTTATGCAATAAAGGGCGTATATACTTTATACTCACTATACTCGGACATTGTGCTCATTTTTATTTATGTACATCAGGAGCTACAGAACATCGTCTTTCAAAACATGACCTACTTGAAAGAGAGAAAAAGAATGAATGCGTACCCAGCACTTGTGAAAATGCCCTTTCGAGTACGTCTCTGTCCCCAGCACATTTCAAATTGACGCCCATTTATCGCAGAAAAGCTTCTCTCAGAGTTAGATGACACAATCGACCGAGTGAGCGATAACTTAAAGGGTTAGTTCACCCAAAAATGAAAATGAAGTCATTAATTACTCACCCCCATGCTGTACCAACCCCGTAAGACCTTCGTTCGTCTTCAGAGCACAAATGAAGATATTTTTGATTAAATTTGAGAGCTGTATAACTACTTCTGGCCTACAAGGAAGAAAAGAAATAGTCGAATAAACTCGTTATTTTTGTTTGTTTTTTCGCACAAAAAGTATTCGCGTCGCTTGATAAACATATAGTTGAGCCACGGTAGTCACTTGGGATATTTAAACATTTTCTTCATTGACTTTCTGGGCCGTCAAGAGGCAGTCCCTTAGGAGCCAATGTGGTAGTTATACAGCTCTCAAATTTAATCAAAAATATCTTCATTTGTGTTCCGAAGACGAACGAAGGTCTTACGGGGTTGGTACAGCATGGGGGTGAGTAATTAATGACTTAATTTTCATTTTTGGGTGAACTAACCCTTTAAAGAGATTGGGGTTGGTAGTTTTTTTACAGCTTTTTTAAGAAAAGGCGATTACCCGTTTCAGCCACCGGGGGGGCAACGCTCCCCCTGCCCCCCCGCAAACTCCGCGCCTGCTTTCCACACGGTCCCTTACTCGCATCTCCGTCAAGAGCGAGCTTTCCCGGCGAAACTCACATTGCGGTGGCTTTTGAGGGGCAGTGCTTCTTATATAGAGCGAAAATACGGAAAATTAAGCTTGTGAAACGTTGTTAGCCTCGCCTTTTTAGCGGCAATGGGGTTTAAATAACTTTTGGCTTAGTCGTTTAGAAGGTAATTGCCTTAGAAGCTGCGCGGAGTGTGCACAACACAGGAAACATAACAGCAAACATTATTAATAATACTTACAGATTGTGATTCGGAGGACGAACTTGATCCATATACACTGGCTACTGAGCCCTCCTTCGGGAACAACCGGCTTGCGAATCCACATTTGAATTCATTTAGGTTTTTGAAT